CCATTCATTTTAACCAGGTTGTTGTTCAACCGCTCATCTCTCACCCAGAGGGAATATGTAAGTTGCTAGAGAAAGACACTTCACTATCCTGATTCAGGTTTTCTAACTCCACTGGAGCCCCGTGCTAGTCAGCGTTTATACAAGCTGCCCGGATATATCTATTTCTCACAGTGGCTGTTCCAACCTGTTTCCACTCTCCTCAGATCCCTAACCCATGCCCTCCCCTCCCTCCTATCACTCAGCACAGTGCTTAAGTCTCTGGAAGAAACTCTTCCTATATGTGTGCACATCTAAGTGATCACATGGCGTGCTTCTGCTTTCCTAATGTTACTAAGTTTTGCAACTCTTCTGCAGTTTTAAGATTATTTGAAGATAAGATTAAAAAACCAAAAAAACTCCCCAGATCCCTCCAGTTAGGACCTTTGTTCTCTATTTTCCTTCGGAGTAAAGTATGTCCCCACACATGGTTACTACTTCCTCACTTTCCATTTGCCTTGCCAAAACTGCTCTGGATATTGTCATCAGTGGCACCCAAGTTGACAAATTCACTGGATCTTTCTAGACCTCATGTGACATCTCAGGGTATCTGATACAGCTGACCATTCTTTCCTTCTGGAAATACTTTGCCTTCCAAGATAAAAAACTCTCCAGGTTTTCCTCTTCTAACTCTACTCCACCTTCTTATTCCAACTTTTCTTTTCTTTGTTTGTTTTTTTTTTTTTTTTTTTGAGAGAGAGTCTGACTGTGTCACCCAGGTTGGAGTGCAATGACGCGATCTTGGCTCACTGCAACCTCTGCCTCCTGGGTTCCAGTGATTTTCCTGCCTCAGCCTCCCGAGTAGCTTGGATTATAGGCATGCACCACCATGCCCGGCTAATTTTTGTATTTTTAGTAGAGATAGGGTTTCACCTTGTTGACCAGGCTGGTCTTGAACTCAAGCAATCTGCCCACCTCGGCTCCCAAAGTGCTGAGATTACAGGGATGAACCACCACACCCAGACTTCTCCCTAGGTAATCTTATTCGTACCTCTGGCCTCAAATGTCATCTATGTGCCAGTGATTCCTAAGCTTACATCCCTATGCTAGACCTCTCTTCAGAGCTCCAGACTCATATATCCACACAGCTACTTGATTCTGGCCCTGGATGTCTCAAAATTAAACTCTTGACATTCTCTCTCATATGTGCTCTTCCTTCAATTTGCCCCTTTCATTATTAAACGGTACTGCCATCCTATTCTATTCACCCAGCTGCTCACGTTAGAAATGCTGGTGTCATTTCAGATATTTCCATTTTTCTCACTCACCAAATCTAATCCTTCAAGTTCAAAATATAAATGCACAAACGTTCCATTTCTCTCCATCTCTACTGCACCCACTCTCATCTTTCGCCCAGATTACAGTGATAGTCTCCTAACTGGTCTCCCTGTATCCCATTTTGCCTTCTCCAGCGCAGTCTCCAAACACTAACTTCAGTGACCTTCTGAAAATACTACCATGATTATATCATTCCTGCGTTTAAATTCCTTCTATTGCTTCCCACTTCACACAGGATAAAGTCCAAAAATATTAATAAGAGCAACCACATACTTCATGACTGGGCCTCTGCTTACCTCCCTAACCTCATCCCTTGCTTACTGCGTTAAGGCTCCACTGACTTTCTCAATCTCTCAACAGAATAGGCTCTTTGCCTGCCTCAGGACACCTTTCTAAAATTTTGATCCCTCCATATTTCACACATGAAGTAGTATAAGGCTAGATTATGCTTTGGTAGCAAATCATCCCATCTAACTAGCTTATGCCTAAAACGGTGTACTTATTGCTCACATCACAGTCCGATATAGGTCAGGTGGCTCCTTAAAGAACTAAGTGGAAACTCAGGGGTTGAGAGTTCTCCCAGTCTGTGGCATCCGCATATTAAAAATGTGGCCTTTGTTATAGCAGTCGAAAGAGAAGAGAGTGGCCGGGCGCGGTGGCTCAAGCCTGTAATCTCAGCACTTTGGGAGGCCGAGACGGGCGGATCATGAGGTCAGGAGATTGAGACCATCCTGGCTAACACGGTGAAACCCGTCTCTACTAAAAAATACAAAAAAAACTAGCCAGGCGAGGTGGCGGGCGCCTGTAGTCCCAGCTACTCGGGAGGCTGAGGCAGGAGAATGGCGTGAACCCGGGAGGCGGAGCTTGCAGTGAGCTGAGATCCCGCCACTGTACTCCAGCCTGGGCGCCAAAGCGAGAAACCAGAAAAAAAAAAAAAAAAAAAAAAAAAAAAAAAGAAAGAGAAGAGAGTGTGAGTGATTATGCAAGAAGTTTTCTGGTCAGGCCTGAAAATGGTATATATCACACCAATAGGGTCTGCCCATACCCCATTGGCCAGATCACAGTCATATGACCATAACTTAACTGCAAAGGCGGTAAGGGGAAGAAAAAAAAGTCTTCCTGTGTGTCCAGAAGAGGAAATGAGATTGGTGAACATCAGGCTACTTTTTGCCACATCCTGGTTAAAACCTACTCATTTTTAAAGATTCAGCTTAAATAATACTTACTTACAAAGGTCTTCCAGCTCCTCCAACTTAAATTAGGCATCCCTGATACATTCTATTGTAGCACCCTGTAATTTTCCTTTACAGCATGATCACAATGGAAAGTTTATTTTTCTTTATGTGATAATATTTATATCTGTTGCTAGACTGTAGGTTCTATAGGAGTAAGGACTGAATCTGTTTTGCTCCCACTGTGTCTCCAGCACCTATCACACTACTTGGTATATAACTGGCATAAAAGTTTTTGAGTGAACAAATGAACAGTTGCACACAGTCATTGCCTGGCTCCAAATAGCACATGACTTTTGCAGGAGAAAGACAAGTAAGTAGGCAGTCATGGCTTAGTGTAGTGATAAATGTTCCAGGCAGGTAAGTCCAGGGAGCTGTGACAGCAACCTGAAGGAACTTGCAAGGCTTCTGTGTTTTCTCTTTCACAGCAATCGAATCCAGGAGTCTGCAAACTCTGACTTGTAGGCCAAATCTGGCTCATTGCCTGTTTTTTAACGGCCCTTGAGCTAAGAATTGTTTTATATATATATATATATATATATATATATTTTTTTTTTTTTAGATGGAGTCTCGCTTTGTTGCCCAGGCTGAAATGCAATGGTGTGATCTCGGCTCACTGCAACCTTCGCCTGCCGGATTCAAGCAATTCTCCTGCCTCAGCTTCCTGAGTAGCTGGGATTACGGGCGCCTGCCACCATGCCTGGCTAATTTTTTGTATTTTTAGTAGAGATGGGGTTTTGCCATGTTGGCCAGGTTGGTCTCGAACTCCTGACCTCAGGTGACCCATCTGTCTCAGCATCCCACAGTGCTGGGCTTACAGGTGTGAACCACTGCGCCCAGCCTGTTTTTATGTTTTTAAGTGATTGAAAAATAATTAAAAGAAAAATATATTATGATACACGAAAACTATGTGAAATTCAAATTTCAATGTCCATAAAAAATATTCTATTGGAACACAGCTACATCTTTTATTTATTGTCTATGACTGCTTTTGAGCTACAATGGCAGAGCTGAGTAGTTGTGAAAGAGGTCATACAGCTTGCAAATCCTAAAATATTACTAATAGAAAAAAAGTGTGTTGACTCCTGATCCAATCCATGCTTAGTTTAAAAGATCACGTCTATGTGAATTACGTCCAACTGTACATCTTTAAGTTTCTGCGTTTTCCCATTCTGGTGTCTGCTACTAGAAATCAGGTTCCCTTTAGTTCTATCCTTGCAGCAGGATTCCTGCCCTGCTATCTCTCTCCTCTTCTTTTCAGTTCATCACTGTGTACTAAAAAAAATCTGCACTCTTCAGCACAGCATCCCTAGTTCTCCATTATCTCACCTGGTCAGCTGTATCTCTTACATCAAACTTTCATCTAACCTTATCAATCACTTAAACTACCCTTGCCTTCTCTGCTGTAGGCCAATGCTCACAGTTACTGTCTCTGTGTGAAATGTCTGTTGCTGGTATTTCTCTCTTAGCCATCCTCTACGTTGGTTATCTCAAATGCCTCCTTGCTCTAAAAGCTTTTCCCAGTTCCTCGTCTGGGAATAATTATTGCCATCCGTGCGAGATTCGCTAATGCTTTGTACGACTGCTTTATTCCAAATTCTGCTTTATAGCTTTTTTGTGTATACACACAGACTGTTTCTCACGTTCTATTGAAAGCTGCTTAGGGGAGGAATTGTATTCTATTTTGTTAATCTCTGTATCCTTTCGGCGTCTAGGAAGGGTCTTGTACCAAATGGAAATGTCTCTTCTTTGCAAAATTCCTCATCGGGAGCTGGGACTGTGAATTTTTGTAACGTTTAAGAACTATCTGTTATTTAAGCACAAACACTCCGCTTTAACTTGCTTAGGGTTCACTAGCGCGAGTAAGACCTTTTTAGGGAACGCCCTCTCGCAGGTGGTCACACAACTATGTATCGCTGCCGGGACCCTTAGGTTTGTCTGCAAACACGTGGGTTATAAGCGCTACCCTCCAGGCCCCTCCTCTGTCCACGGTGATTGGCGGACCAAATGTTCCAATCATCCCTCCCCGCCTCTTTCGGCAGTAGCCAATCAGAGACCCCGAGCGCCTCCTGACTACTAGACACTGTTTACTAACAGATCGAAGCTGGGGAATAAGGGGTGTGACCATTCTGGGGAGGTCAGGGAAGGGAAGGTCTTGACTGCGCGTGCGCACCAGAGGAAATGGGCGGGGCAGAACTTTGGGTCTCACCAATCGGAGTGGCTGCGCTCCTCCCTCTCCTGCCTCCCCGCCAAGCAACAACAATTCGAGGAGCGGGGCGGGGCGGCTAGTGAAACGTCACAGCGGAGTGCCCAATGGGAGCCGGCGTTGGCAGACGCGCGCGCCCTGTGCCCAATCAGCGAAGGCGGCTCGAATGGCTCCCTTACCTTGCTGGCTGTGGGCGGAGCGGCCTGAGGAGGCGGCAGTGGAGCAGGGGGCGGTTTGGTTGCGCGGTACTAGCGGTGCCCGCCGAAGGGGGAGGAGGCGAGGAGCGAGCCGTGCGGCCAGAGCGGGAAAGAGACTCGTCTTTGCGTCCGAGTTCTGGAGCCGCCGCACCCCGGCTCCTGGGGCTGCGGCAGCGGCTGCGAGGGGACGGGCGTCTGTTGTCTCCTGGATTCCCCTCGTAGCGACCCGCGGGATCGGAAAAAAGGAGAAGATGGAGGAGGAGGGCGGCAGCAGCGGCGGCGCCGCGGGGACCAGCGCGGACGGCGGCGACGGAGGAGAGCAGCTCCTCACGGTCAAGCACGAGCTGCGGACTGGTGAGCGACCCCGCCCTCTGCCGGCCGGGCCCGGCGCGGGGGCGCGCCTGAGGGCACGCGGGTACCCGCGCGGGGCTGGGGGCGCGGGGCCGGAGCCGTGGGCGCGGAGGGGCGGGCCTGGGGCGGGGCGTCGCGGTCGGGGCGCGTGCCCCGGGGGTCTCCGGAGGTGGGGGCGCGCCCGGGGGGAGGCGGCCGAAAGTTTTCCCCAGCCCGGGAATGAGCCGCGGGCACCAGGCATCGGGGCCAGAGCAGCTGCCAACCGCTGCCCGTGGCACGCACCTCCGAGGATGTCGCTGCTCCCCCTTCCCACACGGGTGACACATGTGTGTCTGCGTCCTGTCGGGGCGAAAGGTGCGCTTGCCTCAGCGTGGGGCGAGCGGCGCTTTGTTTTGGAGCGTGACTCCCTGCTCCGCCCCTCTGCTCCCATCGATGGGGGTCCGGGTGGGCTCTGTGGAGCCATCCGCTAAGGTGCTGGGGTCCCGTAAGAGATAAACGGGGTGTTGCGCCTCGGGCTTTTACCGAGTCCAGTCTAGAGACAGGAACGGGAATCGCGGGCTCCAGGGATTGAGTGCCTTTATTCTCACTTATGAAATACTATACTTGGCCTTGAATTTCCTTCAGAGGTCTCTGGAGATGATGGCTCTGTAAATTTAAAGCTCCAGGTAAAAGGAACTAAGGAGCAGGCTTCAGCGCGTACGTTCTGATGTTTGAGATTACTAGCGTTGTCTTAAGCTTTATAACTAATTAAATGTATTCGTTGTGTAGGTTCGGGTTGTTCATTTTGGAAAATGCTTATTCAGACCCATCAGTACAATTTGGGTTTATATTCTTGGAGCCCAGTCTCGTATTGTAGATATGTTAATACTTTTTTTCTCTGAACAGATAGTACATTTTAATGAGGCGTTCGTTATTATTAGATATGTTTGTGAGCGTTGAAGGTTTTTGACAGAGCTGCTTTGGCATATTGGGATATTCTTTTTTTTTTTTTGAGACGGAGTTTCACTCTTGTTGCTCAGGCTAGAGTGCAGTGGCATGATCTCGGCTCACCGCAGCCTCTGCCTCCCAGGTTCGAGCGATTCTCCTGCCTCAGCCTCCCGAGTAGCTGGGATAGCTGGAATCACAGGCATGCGCTACCACGCCCGGCTAATTTTGTATTTTTAGTAGAGACAGGCGGGCGAGGGTGGGGGTCTCTGCATGTTGGTCAGGCTGGTTGCGAACTCCCGGCCTCAGGTGATCCTCCCGCCTCGGCCTCCTAAAGTGCGGGAGGGATTACAGGCGTAAGCCACCGTACCCAGCCAGGATATTATTAATTGCGAAGGTACAAAGCTGAAACGGCAGAATTCAGGTGTTCACTAGTACATCTTATTTCTGTTTTGAACAGATTGGAAAGTTAGCTCTGTCCATCAGTTCTTTCAGTTTTTGTTATTTCTACTGAGATTGCCTATTAGCATTCCATTGGGTGCCAGTGTGGTGACTTAATTCAAGAGAAATCTCAAATTCATGCTTCTTAATTCAACATTTGTAAACATTGTTTTTTTGGTCTTTGTGAATCTGTTATACCTCTTGAGCCAGCTATTCCATATTTTTTAGTTCCTAACATAACCTATATGGATTCAGGTAATTTGCTTTTTCTTCTCTCAATTTCGTAGACAACTGATATTTTCAAAAGGCTTTTATATAGTTTACTCAATATACATTTATTCGGATTTGTGCCACGCTCAGTGTCAGGTGCTTTCTGGTGCGAAGATTTTGCATTTTTTCTTGTCTTACATAATGATCCACTGATTTATATGTATGGAATCCTACTGTACAGCAAAAGTACTTGAAGTCATATGCTTCTCAGCTATCGACTGTGGTGCAACAAGCAGCTTTTTGCTAAAAGACCAAGGAGCAACCTGCTTGTTAGTAGTAGTTAACCAACTGCTTGGTTTCTGGATTTTGCAAACAATGCTAGTTTTGTAGAAAACAGTGAGTACTGCTTTATTTCCCCCTCTCTTCTAACTGTGTGAATCATCAGCTTCAAGTTTGCATTTTAGAAATTTTTCTGATGGATGGTGAGATTATGCTGAATTCATTAGTGCTGTTAACTGTCAAAGGAAATGACAGTTTTGATTTATTACTGAACACTGGGACAACTGACCGGATATAGTGGTCAAAAACACTGTTAAAATATAACTTGAAAGAGTTGCTCATCTTCAGCCAACTGCACTTCTTTCAGCACATGATGCTATAATAGGCACCAAAGTAATTTGATCTGATATGGTCCCATCTCAGAATGTGGACAAGCATCTAGTTATATCAGACTGGCAGTTGGTGGTTGCTCATTTTTGCAGAACACTTTGTTGTATTCCGTAGGATGAATGAAAAAGCAAAATATGTCACATGAAAGGACGTGGAGTTGGAAGACATGATTCTAAATCCCATCTCTGCGGCTTAATATGTAGACATGGACAAGTCACTTCACCCTTTCAGATTCACATCTTTAATCTACAAAATGTGAGAATTGAATGAGACACTGTTGGAAAAGTGCTAAGTGGGTTGCTTGGCATATAGTGGGCCCTTAGGAAATGTTAGTTGAATGTATATATAAAAATCATTCCATAATGGTGTCTTATCTGGAAGTGTGTGAATTAATCCGGTGTAATTGGGGAAAGAAATCACTCATTTAGTGCTTAGCCTGTGTCGCATTGCCTGGCTATTATCTTTTTCTGTATACGTCCAGTCTTCTCATGTAGAGTGTAAATTTGCCATAATCTTTGCGGCTGCTTAGCCGCCTGTATGTATCTCTTCAGTAACATTTAACACACGGTACTATAGTAGTCCATTTACTTGTCTGTATTAGACTGTAAGGTCCTTGAGGGCAGGCAGGCACCATGTCCTTTGTTTATTTGCAGCCCCTGGCATATAGTAGGTACTTAATATTTGTTGAATGAATTCATTGAATGCATGAGAATCCAGGAGCAAGTCTAGTAAGTTTATTGTATTACCAATGCCTTGCAGATGTTAGATGGTTGATAAGTGGATGACAGTGACTGTAAAAGCTGAAGAATGCAGATTATAGGATTGAACAGATCACTTAAACATACATTTCTTAAGCATCGACTAAGAAAATGTCCTGCCCTCTAGTAGTAGGGGAGGAGGCCATATAAACCAGTAATTAAGATAATACTGCCTTGGGAGGCTGAGGCGGGTGAATCACGAGGTCAAGAGATGGAGACTATCCTGGCCAACGTGGTGAAACCCTGTCTCTACTAAAAATACAAAAAATTGGCTAAAAATTAGCTGGGCATTTTGGCGCACACCTGTAGTCCCAGCTGCTCGGGAGGCTGAGGCAGGAGATAGCAGTGAGCCGACATTGCCATTGCACTCCAGCCTGGCAACAGAGCGAGACTCCATCTCCAAAAAAAAAAAAAAGATAATACTGCTGTAGGTATAATAGTAAAGGGACATACAAGTATTAAGTTAGCAAAGAATAGGTTAGGACTTTTAGCTTTCAAATAATCAAATCTGATGCTTCAACAACAATAACAAAAAGGATATTGTTGGAAGGATATTGGATTATTTTACCCACTTGTTTAGGAAATATTTTATTTCCTCTTACATACTGGGTGCCATTTTAGATGTTTGGGTGATAGGACATGTATGGTCTGTCCACTGGAAGAACAGGGTTGCATCAGGAACCATTGGAACCAGAAACTTAGCATTGTCTGTGTTTTGTCTGCCTTGAATCTCTGCTTGTCCCTATGTGATGGCTTCATTCTTCCCCACCACCGTGCCACTTTTCCCACGTGGGAAAGATCATGGTGTTGATAGACTCCAAGTTTTACATCCTACAGCTTCTGCTACTGAAAAGACACCGCCTTCTCAGCTTCAGTTATAAAGATCTCAGGGAAGGGCATTTTTGGCCTGCCTTTGGTGAGGTATCCACTTTTGGATCATTCACCTAAGGCCAAGGGATGGGATCATGTTTTTGTAACATGGCAGCAATTTCTGTAAACATGGATAGGGATAAAACTAAACTCTAAGAGGAGGAGGAGTTGCTGGGAAGACATTTACTTAGATGCCTGTTATTAGGAGAGAGAGCCTAACATTGAGGAGAAAGTCAAGGAAGTTTATCTATTGTGGTGTAACAAATTACTCCAAACCTTAGTGGCTTAAACAACATGATTTGTGTGGGTCAGGAATTTAGGAGTGGCTAGCTTGTTGGTTCCTTTTTTAATCCTAAGTGAATTAACACAGGACGCTTTTTGGTTCTAACTCAGAGACTCTCATGAGGTTGAAGTCAAGATGTTGGCCAGGACTGCAGTCACCTGAAGATTTGTCTGGGTCTAGTGATTCCCCTTCCAAAATGGTTCACTCACATGTTGGTAGGTTGCTTCAGTTCCTTGCCATGTGGACCTCTCCATAGCGTGGCTTGCGCGTTCTCATGACAGGGAGCTGATTTCCCCAAGAACAAGTGATCCGAGAGAGAGCAAGGTGGAACCTACCATGCTATGTCTTTCACTGTTGTTTTGTTTTTTAGAGACGGAATCTATCCAGGCTGGAGTGCAGTGGTGCGATCATGGCTCACTATAATCTCAGAACTCCTGGGCTTAAGAGATCCTCCTGCCTCAGCCTCCTGAGTAACTCTGGGACTACAGGCATGCACCACCACACCTGGCTAATTTTTTTTTTTTTGTAGAGACAGGATCTCATTATGCTCACACTGGTCTCCAACTCCTGGGCTCAAGTGATCATCCCACCTGGGCCTCCCAAAGTACTGAGATTACAGGCGTGAGCCAACATGCCTGGCAAAATTAATCTATCTGTAGCATGCATCCGTCCGTACTTCATTTTGTTGTTGTTGTTGATAAATTGTTTTCCATTGTGTAGATATACCAAGTTTTGTTTATCCATTCACCAGTTGTTTGAAATTTGGGTTGTTTCCACCTTTTGGCTATTGTGCTGCTTTGCACATTTGTGGACAAGTTTTTGCGTGGACCTATGTTTATTTCTCTTGG